CCTGCAGCCATGCCTGCAGCACCTCGGGATCACTCCTCCCATGGCCAAGCGCCACCCCTGGGAACAGGGAGAAGATGGAGACCCACGGGACCGATCTCATCTCCTTTGGTGTTCCTCTCTTCCTCCCGGCTGCATTGCCACCGTGCCATCCTAACAGCCAGGTTGCCTATACATTGATTTCTTCCTTCTTTCATAAACCTTGAAATACTTGTATTTTCTTCCCTCCTTTCTCCTCCTTCCATCCAGGATCTCGTAGTGGGGCACATCTCCCTCAGGATGCTGTAATGAAGCGGTACCTGACAGCGGAGCTCCACTTACCCCAACAGCGCAGGTGATGGGCAGCGGTGACTCCTAGCCGAGATGTCGGGACGGGGGTGCAGCTCCAGGTCCAGGTCCAGGTCCAGGTCCAGGTCCAGGTCCAGGTCCAGCTCCAGCTCCAGCTCCAGCTCCAGCTCCGTCAGTGACTGGGACAGCCTCAGGGCCTGAAGAAGGACCAGAACCTGTCCAGCCGCTCCCCAGCTCCTGCCCTTTCAGCCCCCAGCACCGCACTAATTGGCTCAACCTGAGCCCCTTCCCAATTCCTCCCACCTGGGGACAGGCAGGTCCCACTCTGCTCCTGGCTGCCAGCCCTCCCTTCGCCCCCCGGTCCTGATCTCCCTTCTTTCATGGGTGGGGGACCACGTGTTCCGGACCCCTACACTGGCTGGTGAAAGTCCCACTCGTCCCCCGTTCCCATTTTCCAGGGCAAAGCACAACCTGCCTCAAGGCTGCACGACAAAGCATAACTAGAGTGACCTTTTGCTCAAGGAGCAGAGGGGCTTTTCCACCCAGATGCTTTTCTTTCCACAACTGCTTTGGGGGCGCGTGGGGTTCGGCCAGGCGTGCACCCCTGCGGGACAGAGGAAGCGTCGGCACTCAGCTGTAGGGACCAGAAGCAACTGTAGGAGAGAGTTCACACCCTTTGGGACAACACATTTCCCCTCTCTTTCTCTCACACCCATTAGTTTTTTATTTTGTTCTCAGCTTTTATCCCCCGTTTGCCATTGCTCAGGCCCCAGCACCGTTGGAAAAACAGTTACACCCAAACCCCGGGCTGAGAATCGCTCTGTTGTCAGCACTGAACTGCCTCAAAGCACCCGAAATGCTTCCCAGAAAAAAAGGAGCATGGAAACACCGAGCAACTGCAAAGGCAGACTGGAGATGGCCAGGTTCCCAAGCATCCCACCCAGCAGCGCAGAGGCGAAGGGGCACGGCGCCAGCGGCCTTTACAGTGCAGAAACCTTTCCACGGTTTCCTGAGAGCGCAGAACGCCCCGTGCCATGAAGACGGGCCGGGTCAGGCAGCCGCAAGTGCAGCTCTCCGCCCCGTCCCGGTTCTGCGCAGCAAGCCTGGCCGATGTTTCCCTTCCCCACCTACCCTAGGGCAGCTCCTCCATCTCCTAGGATGCTTTCTCCCAAAAATCCCAGGTACATCCAGGGTTTCTGACCCAAAACCATCACCCACAGTAGCTCATCAGGGAGAGTGCTTTAACTCAGCTCTGGTATTTGACAGAATCCTCCTGTTTCCTGCAGTAACTCCTCACTAGCCTCTGATCAACTCCTCGACCAACAATCGACTCCCCAACACCCTTCTCCGCGTGCTGGCACAGTCACATTAGAAATGCTACCGGTAACAGCAGGAGGCTAACAGTTCACAAGAACAAGGTTTTTCTGGGTCTTCCCGTTTCACAGAAGCCTTCGGGAAATGCCGAAACGGTGGAACAGACAAGAGAATACAAGGCAAAAGATTTTTTTTTCCTTTTTTGTTGCATTTTATTGAAAATGAGAAATACCGATAGCAAAAATCATTCCACTGAAGCCCCAAACCTTGATTCCATCAATCAGTTATCCAGACAGAAAGGACACAAACATCGTGATCACCAAAACAAAACACTTAGAGGCCGAGGGCGGCCACGGCACGGCGAGCTAGAGGAGTTCTCCATGAGCACAGAGACTCCGGGCCAGCACATGCCCCAGCAAAGGGGCTTCCTCCAGCCCTAACATTTCCCATCAGCACGGCGCCACTCTCCATCTTATCTCGATTTCACAGCCAGGAAAGCATTCACAGATTACATTTCTCAAGACAAACATCTCGACAGACAGAGACAAAGGCCACCGGGAGCACTGACACCAAGTCATGGCGGGCGCAGACTTCATCCGGCCACGGGGAATTCACTGTCCCACTTGGCGGGGACCTCGGAGCCCACACGTCATTTGCACATGAAGAAGAATTTTTTACGGAGAAAGTTGAAACAACCCGGGATCTGTTTGTACTTCCCCTTGTCAGCGACGGCGTTTGCCACCTGGGAACAGAAGGAGAGCAGTTGAGGAGCTTTTCTGACTTGGGGCACAACCTCTCACAGGAAGCACAGTGACAAGGATGGGGAATGGAACCGTGGGACAGGAGAGCGAGCAGGTCTCCTAAAATGAGATGTTTTCGACAGCAAAAACACAGGGGACTCACAGGAAAACAGCCTTTCAGGAAAACCTGACTGTACCAGCCTCCGGCGGATGCTTCTTGGCGTAAGCCCCAAATTCCCTCTTTTCCTTCAGGTGTTTACTTAAAAGCCAACTCCCTTTCCACCGGTTTTCTTCCAGACCTGCCTGTCATTCCCCAAGGTCCCTCCCCCTTGCACCAAATCCCAAGCCGCGGAGAGAGGGTCTCGTGCTACTCCCTGGAAATCAACAGCTGCCGTGCCACCATGTGCTGAGGAGGCGCCACGATATCGGGAAAACAACAACAAAGTAGGTCCTCTCTGCCCTGCCACCTCCGCATAAGACTTTTCTCCTACACACAGAGAACAGCAACGGTGTCAAGAAGCACCTACGCTTTGCCCCAGCTTGGGCATGCTTTCTCCAGTCGACAGGGCACGCAAAGGAAAACATTTATTAGCCACACCAGGTCCATTTTCCCTGCACATGGCGCCCCTCCATCACCAGGACGCGTGAACGCAAACATCTGGCATCGTCTTTCCGAGGGCGAGATGCTCCTCCAGACTTACCACGGTGTGACAGGAGCACCCGGGGAGATCTCCAGGAACGAGAGACCCAGCGGGTCTTCCCCGAGGGCATGATCTGCCCGGACGGGCAGCTGCATGCTTACAACAGTGCGCCACGTCCCAACAGCTTGGACTTAAGAGGATGGGACAAGCTACGCCATTCCACAGGTTGGAGAGGTGGGCCCAGGCCAACCTCATGCGGTTCAACCAGGCCAAGTGCGGGGTCCCACATCTGGGTCGGGGCAATCCCAAGCACAACTCCAGGCTGGGAGGAGAATGGCTGGAGAGCAGCCCTGAGGAGAAGGACCTGGGGGTGCTGATTGATGAGAAGCTCAACATGAGCCAGCAGTGCACGATCGCAGCCCAGAAAGCCAGCCGTACCCTGGGCTGCATCAGAAGCAGCGTGGCCAGCAGGGCGAGGGGGGGATTCTGCCCCTCTGCTCTGCTCTGGGGAGACCCCACCCGGAGTACTGCGTCCACCTCTGGAGCCCCCAACATAGGAAAGACATGGACCTGTTGGAGCGGGGCCAGAGGAGGGCCACGAGGATGATCCGAGGGCATCCTATGGTCACACCAACAATGCTGTTGAGACACTGCACATGTTGCCCAAATGCTTAGCCATAAAAATGTTTCTTGGTGGCAGTGTCCTGGTACTGGAAGGTTCCCAGTTGGGCTGCTTGGCTGGTGAGGGCCTTTACAATGCTTTTGGGAGCTGCTGCAGCAGCTCCACTGTTGGCTTCAGCAGCAGTTGTGGAGAAATTTTTCCCTGTGCAGGTGGTGAGCCCCTGGCGCACGTTGCCCCGAGAAGCTGTGGCTGCCCCATCCCTGGAGGTGTTCAAGGCCAGGTTGGACGGGGCTTGGAGCAACCTGGGCTGGTGGGAGGGGTCCCTGCCCAGGGCAGGGGGTGGAACTCAATGATCTTCAAGCTCCCTTCTAACCCAAACCATTCTGTAATTCTATGATTTTTTAGAAATTTCCTTGAAAAGATTAAAGCCTGAATTTTCAGGATTACTTCTCACTACAGAAACCTCGAGGTGATTTCAGGCAGATTGAGGGCAGAGACTTCCTTCATAATTAGACCTCTCCACAGGGCCTTCAATTAGCCAGTCCCTAAACTGAACGCTCAATAGCATCATCCCTTTTCAACCTGTAGGCCTCCATGCCCTGACTGACTGCAGCTCCAACTATCTCCTTCATCGTGATGACAAAAAGCAGGAATACAAGACATTTACCTTCACTAACAAAAATGGGCATATTGCTCCAGCACGCTGTCCAGCATTTCCACATACCACGAGCCTCTGGAGACATCCCTCCAGGAGACAAAACCTTCAGAGAAAGGATGAGAACATTACTGCTAAAGCCATTCTCCTGCTCTCCTCTCACCAAGTTACTGCTGCTCCCCAGGTGTTGTCTCCAGTGGAGCCCGTCACCCCTAACTGCCCCTGACTTCAGCCATGAAGCTCCCACCTTTTTTGTTAATTCCCCTGAGTCGCCAAAGGATTTCTGTGGGCCGTCTCACCTGGAAATGTTGAGTAGGAGACCAAGATGTCGCTGGGCGTGGGCAAACTGGCTACGGCATCCGGCTCGTCTGTGCTACCCACCAGAGTCCGAAAAGGAGTTGCATCCGACTCCAAAGAACCTCCAGGAGCTTCGTCACCAGGGGAATCGCAATCTACTACACAGCCTTGATCTCTTTGTTCTGCAAAAAGTGGTAACAAGACAATCCCCAACGTTCATCTTACCCAAGCGCTCAGCAATTGTACATCTTCTGTTAAGAAAAGATGGGGGATTGGGGGGGCGGGGAGAAACTAAAGCCCCCTCCAACAAAACAAAGCTTTTTGGCCCTTCGGCGGCGCTGGTTGAGTCAGAGCCATCAGGTGATTCACGTGAAAGCCCTCAGTCTGCGCTTCCCCACCAACCTCACGGCTGAAGACCCGGAGTGGCCAGTCAGAGTGCGCTGCCTGGCTCTGTGCCGCAGTTACTCCCCTCCTTCTGTCCCATGTTCCTACCGTGCAAAAAACCCATTCCAGCACACGCAAATCAGTACCGCCCTCCTACAAGAGACTCGCACCCAAGTCCTTAGACTCAGGCCATGCTAGCAGTAAGAATGGGTGGCCGAGAGTGAGAGAAAACAGTCGGAGAAACAGGCAATGAACAAAAAAGGAACAAGAGACCAAAGCCTAACCACATCTCCGAAGCCTGCTTAAGCCCAACGGCTGACTTGCTTCAGGAGCTAAAACAAAGATTCACCTCCACCACAGGCCTGGATGAAGAAGAGTTTGGGTTTTCCTCTCAAACTCGGGCAATTGGACCCATTGAAACAGTTCACAATCTTTTCTATTGCAATGGGTTCTCCATCCGTTCCATAAATGCTTCCGGGAAACTGAATATGGCTCGTCTGCAAGAGGAAAATCCAAGAGCTAGTAATGCGGAAGGTGAGGCCGATTCCGAGGGAGCCCATTTCCAATCAGGTCCTTTGTAGCCTTAAATTACCAGAACAAATCTCATTTCATCGCGTTTGTACAAATGCGTGCACCACGGCAGGGTGAGGGGATGCCCAGAAGTCACTTGAAACACACTAAACCCCAGAAAACCGACGACTCCTGTTATCCAACTCCTCTCCCACCTCCTCCAGCACTGGGGTGCTTCATCCTCTGGGACAACAGGCGCACAACATACACCACTTTCATAACAACTGCTCTCCTCTCCTTGTCCTTCGAGGCCTCTGACTTGCGATAAATGTGCTTTACTGCTAATAGCTTTACTACTAATAGCGTCTCCCCCAGCAGAGATGGAGAAACAAGAAGGACTAAACGACCACAGCATGAGGGTTAACGCTACCTCCCCTTGCTCTCCTCTCATCATTCCGTTCCAAATTATACACCCCAACATCCAAAACAGAGAACACTTGTCCACAGGCAACACCCGATCAGGCTACACTGGAGAAGCTGCCGTTTTCTGTAACCCAGATATGAGAGCATAACTCTTTGCAACTCACCATGAGAGTGGTCAGATCAGATCGCAGACCGCTTCCCTCCCACCCTGCGTGAGACCGCAGCGCAGGGAATTAACCCCTTCCCATGTGGGCAGCCTGTATAACGAGCAAAAGGAGAGGTGCGACGAACCCACCTGACACCCATGGGAAAGGATGACCACGACACAGCAGTCCAAGGCCCTGTGGTCCTGCTGCGCCAGTTTCTTCAGTTCTGAAACCATGTCCTACATAGAAAACATCACAGTAAGAGTTTTTCCAATCATACCTCAGCCGCAGATTACTGCCGGGCCCTGCTCTTATCAGTCTATCACGGTTGTGCTGTTCAGAAAGATCCAGTCAATCTCTCTGCCGCGGGGTAACATGCACCCCACGTACAGGCAGCAAAACCCATCATCAGAGAGTGAGTATTTCTGCAGTTCTACCCTCATTTAACATCAGTTGCTTTAATTACACACATTTCTCTCCTTGTTGCATTTTTTACAACACAGCAACGTAAAACAAAACACACCACTGAAATATGCTGCTTCTGATTCGGGGCCAGTGGGTGAGCAGAGAACCTTCTGTTACTTTCAGGAGCTGCTCTGGATGATTGAGCTCCCTGTGCCGCTTCGAGGACTGTACAGACAGGCAAATTGCACCCCCAGCTGCACACAACGCAGCGGCTGTCAGCTAGCACGGAAATACAGCCTCACTAATTGTCCTACAAATCATAACCAGGAATTAAACTTCAGGCAGAAGGGTGAAAACATGCAAGGTCCTTTCTCCTTTTGCAGCTGCAGCATGACAATAAAATAAGAGGACTTTGATTCTTTCTTTGTGCAGCACAGGCCGGGGCTTTCGGTGTGCTGCCAACATCGGGTTACGTCCCATAATGCGCTCCTGTTGCTTCCGGGGGCTCCCCTCTCACCCCTCGCATGAGCTGGATGCGACCAGCCTCACCTGAGCTTTGAGATTCTGCCGAGTCAGGACGTTGAAGTGCAAGGCCTTGAAGCGCTGCTTCAGCTTCTTACAGTCCACGTCAGAGCCCTCTCGAGTCGACAGATTCGAGTCACTACTGAAGTTGACATTGTTGACAATCAGGCAGTGTCCGCACGGGTCCGCTTTCAGCTCGTAAACCTGGCAGGCACAGGTCGCAATTAAACACTCTCTTATTCAGAGTGCTCGCTGGCTAATCCAGCGGGACACAACACTGACAAGTCCTTAAAGCAGCTCATTTCACAGCTTTTTTTGTTTCTCCGGGACCAGGGATGCAGAACAGCACCCATTCTCCACACGCACGTTATTATCAGCAGCTGGGGAACACAAAACAACCTGCTAAATCAGGGACTGCCTTGGCGGAAAACCAGCCACTTCTTTACCTGCAGCGTCTCCGATGGTAAGCTGAAGCATCCGTGAGGTTTTTTAGGCATCTTTATCAAACCTCACCATGACAGTCCATGCAAGGAGCCAAGAGAACAGGTAGATAAATCTCCCAGAGACTCAGCTTTAGCATCGCCGCCACCACCGCAGGAATTTTATGAGGGCCACCCAAACACCTGCACTGATACGGCCACGAGCCTCGTGCGTACACAGCCAAACTATTCACTTCCACACTGCAAGCTGTCAGAAGGCAACTCCAGACTTATTCGCAATACTCGCCTCCCTGTGCATTTCCCAACGCGCCAAAGCATGCTGCACGAGCTTATTATTGTTTTCCTGGCTTCTCTTTCTCAACACTACAATTACAAAGTCTAAACATCACTTCACAGACAACACACGACTCAGTGCCTTCGGAAATTACCAGCTGCCTCGCTGGGAACTGTTTAAGCACAAGCTTTAAATCTGCATTATGTTATTTGTGTTCCAACTGTGGTAATCTTAAGGAGGAGCTGGCTAATGATTGACCCGCTCCGAGCCGATCGGCCCCGTTACAGCAGCATTGGCCTCGAAGCGATCGCTCAGATAACACAAAGTGAGAACCAGCTGTGCCGGGGCTATTTTCTGCCAGCCACCCACAAGGCACAGAGCTTTTGCTTAACAGGAAGCACTTTAGGCCTAACCAAATACTAACCAGATCGCGGTTCATCTTGTCAACAGCCGAACCTACAACACACAACAGAGACATGGTATTCAGCTCTTTGCGCTCCACAATGAGATATTATACTCCTTCCTCCTCGAATTAACACCAATCCTGCCGTGTCCCCTGCGCTGCATTGGTGACACCAATGAATTCCCCCTTCCCACCCCACCAGACACTGGAACCGAGTGTTTGGCATGACATCCCTCTGGAAGAGCCTTGGTCATGGCTTACCCATTCGAGGTCTTTCACTCTCGGCTTGGACTGGGATGGACAAACGTTCAGGGAAGTTCACATCTGGAAAGACACAGGACAGATGGGTCTCACTCTCTCCCCCTTTTGAATTCCATGCTACAAGTAACCATCTCGGAGTCCGCAGAAGGACCTGATCCAAGAGCTGCCTGTCGTAGGGACCCTGCTGCGAGGGCGTGATACAATATCGCGTCTGTGTTCCTCTTTTCAGAATTCAACAGACTAAAGTTTCTCTTTACAACCATGCAACCATCTGCACACAGATTCAGCAGAGCCCGAGATGGCAAGGACGTGGCAAAAACCATTTTCACCAAGGTACTGCAGAGGCTGCGTGCAAAAATACAGAGAAGGAAGCTCCTAACATCACGAGCACATAGCCTGAGCTTAAAATCTTCCGCTACATGACATTCTCCCAACAGCTCTGCACAGTCACCTCTGCAAGCCATGCTCCAGGATAACAAAAATCAGGACTTCACAGACTATTACCCACGGCAAGAGGGATCCCAGCTGCCACTCCCCGTGCTGCTGTTTGCCCAGAAAACAACTGAACCGTCAATACTTACTTTTATGATGCTTTTCTCCACGTAAGTCCAGCTCAACAGGCCTCAGGTCTACCATCTGTGATGACACCGGCAGGCATTCGCACTCCTCAATCAGCATGTCTGCAAGGTCACCCTGCCCAGTGTCTCGCAGGATTGAGAGGAATACAGGAAAAGCCTGTTTCCCTCGAGTTTCCAGGTCGATGACCAGCTGCCGGGCTTGCTCTCCTCGGCTACCTGCACTCTGCAGAGAGGGAAAGCCCCAGAAAAGACACGTTCACCCGGGGCCAAGGTGCACCACCCAGCCAGCCCTTCCGACTGGGACCCAGAGAGGGGAAACATGGGGATCCACGCTGAGCACATCTGCACGGGGCGAATGAGACCACGACCCAGCAGACGTGGTCACAGAGACCCCCAGCAGCCACCCAACCCGCAACCCCGGGCCCCCTCCAGCCACACAGCCCTGCTGCCACCACAACACAGGCAGCTGCAGCCCGCCATGGGGCTTAGGGGGAGAGGGAGGAGAGAGCACCCCAGCCTGTCCCCACAGGATGAACAGGCATCTCCCTGCCTGTCACCCACGCGTGGGACAAAGTTAGTGACCCCCAGGCCTGTCACCAGTAACAGAAAGGGGCAACAGGGGCCCCTTAAGTCTATCACCAGGTTGGGATGCTGACCCAAGAAGAAAACCCTATGCCTGGCACCAGCTGGGGCAGGGAATGAGAAGGGACAAGATGGGGGGTGTGTTACCTGCAGGGCCCAGGGTGGGAAGGGACAAAGGCCACCTCCCAGGCCTGTCACTGGGGCGAGGGGACATGGAGGCCACCTCCCAGGTCTGTCACCAGGGTGAGGGGACACTGCAGCCACATCTGAGGCCTGAGAGGAGACAGGGGTCACCCCCCAGGCCTATCACCGGGCTGAGGGGACACAGGGACCTCCCCTGAGGTTGAGGTGGGACACAGGGCCTTCCTGTGGGCCCGTCACTGGGACTGAGGGGACACAGAGGCCTTCCCTCTGTCTGCCATCAGGGCTGAGGGGACACGGGGCCCTCCCTTGGGCTGTCACCAGGGTATGGGGACACAGAGGCCACCGCCCAAACCTGTCACTGGGACTGAGGGGACACGGGACTCTCCCTGGGGACTGTCACTGGGGTGAGGGGATACAGGGGCCAACCCCCAGGCCTGTCACAGGAACTGAGGGGACACGAGGCCCTTCCCCGGACCCAGGCGAAGGCTGAGGGGCACACAGGGGGCTGCCCCTGGGGCTGAGAGAGACACAGCTCCATCGGGCTTGTCACCAGAGTGAGGGGACACAGGGGCCACCA